CCAGGGCGAGATGGTGACGCAAAGAGAAGAGAGACACGGTGCCTAGGACGGTGCCCGGATCCTCCCGCAGGTGCCATACCCGAGGTTCTCCTTGTTCTCCCCGTTGGTCGCTTCCACGATCTCCATCATGGGCCCCTCCATCAGCCCTCCATCCGACTCGATCGTCTCGGTCGTTATCACCCTCTTGGTGGTCTTCTTGGTGCCGCCCTTTTTGGTGATCTTGGTGGTGGTCACTTCAGCCATGGTGCCTCGCGAGCGGTGTCGGCGTGCGCGTGGTTGCGAGGTGTGGTCACGGGGTGTTGCACGGGGTGTTGCACGGGGGACGCCGGGAGAGCACTGGGCACCGAGGGCAGCGAGGAGCGACTTGGTGATGAGCACACCAGCACGGGAGACGGTGTGAGGACCGGCCTTGGGGACCCACTACGCGCGCCCGCCCTCGGCCACGGGCGTATGGGAGGGGGGAGGGGGGAGGGAGGGAGGGGCGGGGGCACGGGGTGGCGGAAGTGTGCGCTGCCCCCTCCATGCTCTCACGTGCCAAAACCTTCCGCCTCTTTTGCTCTCTTTTTTTCTCTCCTCTCCCCCTCCCCCCCCCCCTCATATGGCTCTGCCTTCGTTTGATTTCAGAAGGGAATGTGGGTCAGGGCGGCGGGCGGTGGGCGTGTCGGCGGGTAATGTAGATAATGGCTCGTCTTGTGCTGTAGGGGTCGTTAGTCAGGTTGTTGAGGAGTGTGGGGCGGGTCTTGCCTTCGCCTGCCACACCCCCCCTCCCCCCCCCATACTTCCAAAGCGCCTGTGTTTTTGTCTGACGTGATATGTTGGCAACCATGCCCCCCACCCCCTCCCACTCCCCTCCCCTTCATGCGAGCCTCGACGTCTGATTGGTCCAACCGAGTTTATAAGACAGCCCCTGATTGGTCCGCCTCCCTCCTCCCCCGGCTCGAACCTCCATGCCAAGCTTCATATCTTTTCCCCATTTCTGCAAAAGGAGCTATTTTCGAGAGTGCAACACCCTGGGTCACACCTCCCCATCCTTGGTGAAGGTCTTTCGCTCCTGCCCTGCCCTCCCGCCGCCAGCTCTCGACCTCCTCCTTCCGCCCAGGAGCGTCGTCTGCCTCGGTGAATATGCTGTGTCCCGCATGCTCTTCTCGGTGGACGCGGGGCATGCTTACCTGGCCGTGAATAACGCTCTCCTGGCCGACGAGTCATTGACCCGGGTTATTCCCTTTGGATCGTTCTTATCTTAGGCCAGCGGGCATGCTTACGTCGCCGTGAATAACACTCTCCTGGCCGACGAGTCATTGACCCGGGTTATTCCCTTTGGATCGTTCTTATCTTAGGCCAGCGGGCATGCTTACGTCGCCGTGAATAACACTCTCCTGACCGACGAGTCATTGACCCGAGTTATTCCCTTTGAATCCTTCTATCTTAGGCCAGCGGACATGCTTACGTCGCCGTGAATAACACTCTCCTGGCCGACGAGTCATTGACCCGGTTATTCCCTTTGATCGTTCTTATCTTAGGCCAGCGGGCATGCTTACCTGGCCGTGAATAACACTCCCCTGGCCGACGAGTCATTGACCCGAGTTATTCCCTTTGGATCGTTCTTATCTTGGGTCAACGGACAGTCGCAAGAAGATAATGTTAATAACGGAAGGAAATGACATTAGCGATGTCAATTGATAAATAAAGAGAAAGAACTTCTCGACTGATTCCACTTTGTAAACTCAAATCCCAAGTAACTATGAGTATGAATTTCTATGGGCTTTGGATCGACCAGTGTGCGGATATCGAAAATCAAATTACAAGTAATATTAATATGAATTCCTAATGGGTTTGGATCGATTAGTGAGCGGATACCCAGCTGATGGACAGAAAGTGCATAGGCGCTAAGTAGGTAGATAACAGACGAGTGGTAATTGGGTGTTCAGTGGACAACATAGAACAGCTATGCTAACAGGCGCAGAGAGTAATGATGGGGTATGTTGAAAAGAATGAGGTTTTCCCTCTCAGTCTCTCTCTCTCTCTCTCTCTCCCTTTCTCTCGCTCTCTTTCTCTTTCTCTTCTCTCTCTCTCTCTCTCTCTCTCTCTCTCTCTCTCTCTCTCTCTCTCTCTTCTCTTCTCTCTCCTCTCTCTCTCTCTCTCTCTCTCTCTCTCTCTCTCTCTCTCTCTCTCTCTCTCTCTCTCTCTCTCTCTCTCTCTCTCTCTCTCTCTCTCTCTCTCTTCTCTCTTTCTCTCTTTCTCTCTTTCTCTCTCTCCTCTCTCTCTCTCTCTCTCTCTCTCTCTCTCTCTCTCTCTCTCTCTCTCTTCTCTCTCTCTCTCTCTCTCTCTCTCTCTCTCTCTCTCTCTTCTCTCCTCCTCCTCACTCACTCCACTCCTCCTCACTCCCTCCTCCTCACTCACTCCTCTCCTCTCTCTCTCTCTCTCTCTCTCTCTCCCTCGTGTTAAGATAAGAACAGGTAATTAATTTCCCCAGCTCAATATGGCGTTCGAAACTTCTACAATCACACAGATTTTTACAATCGCAAAAAAACTAGCATGAGTTAGGGGCCACATGGTTCTCCAGACAAGTACTTATTCCTACCAAATATGCAAATATCACTAAAATATTTAATTATTTAAAAATAATTATTTAATCATTTAATTATTTAAAAATAATAAATAAAACATTGATTATTTAAAAATTTTAAATATTTAAAATACTTAATCTTACCAAATATGCAAATATCACAAGAATATTACTTCACAACAGACTGATACAAGCATGAGTATTTATCAGCTCAGGAAAATTTCTATCAATATCACCAACAATAACGATAACAACGATAACAACAGCATGTGAAAAAATGTAAAGCAGAAACACCGATTATGGTTTTTCACAATAATATAATAATGATAATGATAATAATAATAATAATAATAATAATAATAATAATAATAATAATAATAATAATAATAATAATAACAATAATAATAATAACAATAATAATGACGATGATGATAACGATGATAATCATATGACGATGATAATAATAATAATAATAATAATAATAATAACAAAAATATGAAAAACGAAGAAAACGAAAAAGAAGTAGAAGGAGAAGAAAAATAATAAAGAAGAAGGGAGACCGAGCAGGTGACGACGAAGTAGAAGAAAGAGGCGCCGGAAGAGGAAGAACAAAAAAAATGAAGAAAGACGAAAAAGAAGAAAACGCTTTGAGGAGATTTAAGGCTTAAAACTTGGTATTTTCTAACACCATAAACAGATAAGGATGATGAAGAAGAAATAGGGTAGGGGGGAGAAAAGAAGGAAGAGGAGGATGAGGAGAAATGAGGAAGAGGAAGACGAGGAGAAAGGAGAGGAGGAAAAAGAAGTGGAGAGGAGAAAAAAAGGAGGGAAAAGGGAAGATGAAAAAGGAGGAAAGGCAGGAAGAGGAAGAAGAATAGTACGACGATGAAGACTAAGGGGGAGAGGAAACTGAAGAAGAAGAGGAGAAGGAGGAAGAAGGGAAGAAGTGAAGGAAAATGGACGGAAAGCAATAAGAGAAGGAAGGCGAGGATGATGACACAAGGGAGGGAAAGCAGAAAGAGGAACAGGAAGAGGGACAGAGGAGATTGGAGGAGCGAGAAATAAGGAGAAAAAGAGAAAAGAAGCAAAGCAAATTGCTGTCCATTTCTCCAGGAGTCAGTTTCATCAAATATCTAGGTATCTATCACTTCATCGACATGACGTCCTCTCACAGACGCAGACAGACACACAACACACACACACACACACACACACACACACACACACACACACACACACACACAACACACACACACACACAAACACACACACACACACACACACACACACACAAACAAACAAACACACACGCATATTCACAATCACCTTTCTACCTTCCTTCAGTCTATTATCTACCATCTCTCCAGCATCATCCCCGCTTGAAAGTAGTACATATAATCTGCAGGTAATAAAAATCTTCAAAAAAATCTGAAACTATACATATGTCATTGTTTTGCGATTCATGTGTCAGTTCTTATCTATCAAATAATTCCATCTATCAAATTAATTAACATATATTTTTGCAAACAATTCTACTTTCGCTGTCGGTATTACAGGAACTACGAAACATCTTAGCTTTATGAATAATTAATCAATTATATATATATATATATATATATATATATATATATATATATATTTCATTTTTTAAGTTTCATACTGAGAACGACATCTCTATTACGTTTTCCATACTTAAAGGCCTATCATTAGTCCTTCCGTGAAATAGGCCTATTTATGTTGATGACAAATCTGGTGATATATTTGAACTCTGAGATAAATTTAGGCCTATGTTCGACTTCCTGTCACGAGATTTCATTAGTGTGACTTGTGGGCAGCACCTGAGGCGGGGAATAGGGCCGAATCTGGGAAATTTATTTTTGCTTTCACTTTTTCTTTATATTCCTTTTGGGTCTCTCTCTCTCTCTCTCTCTCTCTCTCTCTCTCTCTCTCTCTCTCTCTCTCTCTCTCTCTCTCTCTCTCTCTCTCTCTCTCTCTCTCTCTCTATCTATCTACTGTATATCCTATTTCCTATATCTTATTCATCATATTTGCATCTTGTTTATTAGATCTATTCTTTTGAATTTCATCACACCGTTATCACATTTACATCACAATCCTTCCTCTAACTCACACTCTCCCGCATCATCTTGTGCTCAAAGGAGGCCCTCCCTCAGCCAGCCCATTCGCCAAGCCAAGAAGAGAAGCGGAGAAGCAAGCAGAGCCATCAAGCCCCGTGATCAAGGGGGTCACGGCGCCCCTTATTGCAATCCCCATTACCATCCCCATTACCCCGAGCTTATTCTTGGAGGCTGGAGTGTCTGCAACCCCGTCTGCTCCGAGTTCCCCGGGGATCGTCTCACCTGTTCGTCCTCCGTCGCGCTCTCGAAGGCCCCCTCGGAGGCTCTTCCCATCGCCTCCTGGTCCTCGTCGGCCATTCTGGGGGGGTTGTCTTGCGAGGCGGTCCTTCCGGCGGATTTCCTCGTCGGGTTTGGCGAGGGCTCGAGATCTCGCACTGATCACGGTCTCTTCGGTCACCTACGAGAACACCTGCGCGCTAGGGGAAGGAGGAGGGGGAGGAAGGGATGGGTAACACCAGGTCCTCGAGAACCTCTTGTCGGGGGTGTGAGAGAGCCCTCGCTGTCCTCCTCCGCCGCCCTCGAGACCGTCGCCTTTCCCCTTCGACCCTCGCACGCGCCCGTTAAAGCCCCCGCGAACCGTCTTCGAAACGCGCGACGCTTAGGACACCCGCACCTGTCCCTCCTTCCCAGGTACTAACTCCTCTCCCCTTTGGTTCGCCGGCAGAAGACGACACCGACGTGCAAGGCGTGTGATGTGGCAGCCCCCCAGCGCCCTGGCAGCCCCCCGGAAAGCACACCTCTGGCCCCGTCGCCGGATGCAGCTGAAACGGGTAAACAAATCTTTTTCACGGCCCGTACCAATCACAGGCGGGGTGATCCTACCTTCTCGATTAGGTAATGCGAGGGCGGGGAACTTGAGGTGGGTACGTTTCCCCTCACGGCTCATCAGCCCATGCCCGGCCCACGCAATAACCGCCCCCCCCCCTTCGCCCCTGTTCCCCCACCTTCGCAAGTAAGACGTCTCGGGGAGCCTTCCCAACAGACGAATATTTCTGACATACGTGAAGCATTCTGGGCGGATGGGATGGCGGCGTATGGATGAAAATACATGAAGGAAATGCGCGAAAATAACTCCATGTTTGACGTTATCCACCTCTATATCTGTTCATCTGCATATGCATGTAACTCTCATACCCATGTCTGGTGTCTGTATGTACAGCATGCATGTATATGTAAGCATGCACATATGCAAGTAAGTACGCACTACTGCACGTATGTATGTATATACAGTATACATGTCTGTGTATATATGAAAATGTGAATGGTATAGCTATCTATGCATGTGTGTATAATTTGGTTAAAGTAAGAATAATTTGGTTTAAGGAATAAATTTAAGGACGAATAAATTAGTTTAAGGACGAATAAATCAGTTTAAGTACGGATAAGTTGGTTAAAGTACGAATAAATTTAGTTAAAATACGAATAATCTGGTTTAATCCGAAAGACTTCCCACACCGCATGCACCTCACCTAACCACGCCCCCCTCCTTCCCCCCCTCCCCCTCCCCCCCCCCCCTCCTAGGCCTCGGCTTCAGGGCGTTCCGGTGCAAATTCGAAGAGACAGACGTGGACGCGATGTCACAGCCGCCGCCACAGCCCCCTTGGGTGGTCCTGTCCGAAATTCTTCCCCGGGGGGCATCTACCCCTGTAATTTTCTCCATGGGGTGGAGGGGGGGGGGGAGGAGGAAGGGGATGCCAAATGCCTTTTACCCGTATGTGTTAGTATTCGTCTCTTGAGTGTATGCGTGTGTTATGTAACGACGGGGGGGAGGGGGGAGGGGGGTTATTATCACCAGATTTGTGGTTTTACTAATGATCTTTTCAGGAATTCTGGGACTTCTGTAACGTCGTTAGGTCCGGTTATGCTCATTAACGCGCACGCTCGCTCTATCTTATCTACGAAAAGGGGGGGGGGGGGCTTAGGAATACCCGAAATGCCTTTTTTTTTACGATCGCTAAGAATTCAGAATTTTGAGAAAGAAATTCGAATGATTTTATCTATCGATTCAGATCTATTCAAACTGCTATGTCATTCATCTACGAAGTCGAGCAACCTAGAGTCAGAATCTTATTTAAAAAAATAAATAAATAAAATAAAATAAATAAAAATCCAAATGTAATTATCCGCGTTTATTCACTTTCCGTATAATAATCTAATGCTTCAAAATGGAGATCATTCACATTCACTCACTCTCTCCCACACCATCCACCCGCCTTCTCCCACACCGTCCAGCAAACCATTCACTTTTCTCCACACCATCCACCCACCTTCCCCACACCGCCAACTCCCACCACATTCCACCACACCAACCCACCTTCCCCCACACCGTCCAACACCACCATCCACCTCCTCCACCTCCTCCAACACCATCCACCCACTCCCACCACACCGTCCCACTCCATCCACCACCTTCTCCAACACCATCTACCCACCACCACCTCTTCCACCTCCTCCCACACCATCCACCCACCTCCCACCACACCGTCCCACACCATCCACCACTTTCTCCAACACCATCCACCCACCTCCTCCACCTCCTCCCACACCATCCACCCACCTTCCCCCACACCGTCCACACCATCCATCCACGTTCCCCACACCATCCACCACCTCCTCCCACACCATCCACCACCTCCCACCACACCGTCCCACTCCAATCCACCTTCTCCCACACAATCCATCCACCTCCACCACACCGTCCACTCCATCTCCACCTTCTCCCACCACCGTCCCACACCACCCCACTTTCTCCCACACCATCCACCCACTCCCACCACACCGTCCCACACCACCACC